AATATTGGCCTTGTATTTAGCGTGATTTTCTCCATTAGTTCTTTTACTTTCTCTACTAGGACTTCTTCTGTATCAAACTTGTCTATGAATCTTTCGCATGACATGTGTTTGTAATTGGCAGCATGTGGCTCTGTAGTTGACATGAAAAACTCTTCCAAATATTTTCTCTGCTACTTCCTATACTCTAGTGTTGGCGGTATCATCTCATCGTTGTTGATCATTTTTTTCCAAATAAGAATTTTTTCCCCTCATACTCCTTACATAATTCTTTCATCTTCTTTGCCTTGAGCCCTCCACCAAACAATTCACACATACCATCAATTGCCTCGCTCTCTATTTTATCCTTCTCCTCCATCGGGACAATATCAATATGTATAACATCACTCACGATATCATGTAGAATATTAATCTTCATTAACATATCATCATTAACATCAGGAACCTCAGAATGAATCTTGATGGTGGTAAAAAATTTCTTTTTAGGGGTGAGCGTCTTGTTGTTTACCACTAGAGAAGCCTTCTCCTTAGCAATCTTTGTCTTAAATGCCTTCGGTTCTATGATTGACATAACTGATAAAGTCTTTATTGGTGCTTCCTGACGCAACACAGAAGTAGTAGCCTCGGAATCCACCAAGGACAATCTTCGAATCCACGAAGAGCTTCAAATCCACGAAGTAAATATTGAAGAAAAATGAAATTTTATTAATCAAAAGTTATTATCCTTTGGGTTACATGACTCTTCTTAAATAGAAAAACAAATAAGTCTCCTAGTAAGAATAGAATTATAAAGAAATAGAAAGTGTTAAATTCTATCCTAAAAAGACTCCCTATAATAGAGGAAATAAATCATGAATCAAAATTAAATTTGTTTCCTAATCTAATTTGACTCTAAAAAATTGAATTTATTTTCTAATCTAAATAGACTCCAACTTTATTACTAAAAATAAACTAAAAGCTAATTATTTTCGGATTTCAGCCAAAACCGGGTATTACTGATGAGATTTTAAAAATTTGACAATCTAGTTGGCTCTATCTTGTCGAGATAGGCGATCAATCTTCGAATCCGTGAAGAGGTTCGAATCCATGAAGTAAATATTAAAGAAAAACAAAATTTTATTAATCAAAAGTTATTATTCTTTGGGTTACATGACTCTTCTTAAATAGAAAATTAAATAAGACTCATAGTAAGACTAGAATTACAAAGAAATAGAAAGTATTAAATTCTATTCTAAAAAGACTCATTATAATAGAGGAAACAAATCATGAATCAAAATTGAATTTGTTTCATAATCTAATTTGACTCGAAATTTAAATTTATTTCCTAATCTAAATAGACTCCAACTTTATTACTAAAAATAAACTAAAAGCTAATTATTTTTGGATTTCAGTCAAAACCGGGTATTACTGATGAGATTTTAAAATGTAACAATCTAGTTGGCTCCGTCTCGTCGAGATAGGCGATTTAAATATATAATATGTCAGAATCTGCCTTCTGGGTTGGAAGATATGATTGTTTTTTTACGAAAGTCAATAATACGTATAAATTTGCATTTAGATAGTGATTGTCCAAATCATCCATGAAATTGTTTGTTAAGCGTCCAACATCATAATACAAGTGAATAATGTATATTCATGATATAAGCGGATTTCCTATTTGACAATGATGCGACTCAATTTCAACTAATTAACTGACAAACAGGAGAGAGCAACGTTCCTAACCAACTTAATTGAGACTATGTCACATCATTGGCTATGAGTGAATTCCCTCATATATATGTGACATATCATACGCATTAACCTCATAATATAAACGGAGTTGATCTGTCTAAATGTGGAGAATGAAAATTTGATTTTGCCTCTACATACATTTTAAGAATAATCCCTTAATTTGTAAGGGGAAAAAGTATTTACATTAATTGTCCTCAAATGCGAAAAGAGATCTCAAAGATTAAATTAGTTTTTTCCCAGCGATTTAGGAACTTAGTCTTTTAGAATAATAAATAGATTAACTAGATTAACTCTCCTCCTTCATCCTTGATATGACATGTGTCAATAATCAATTTTTAAAATAAGCAATTAAAATCATTAAGAATGGTCAAAATATCATGACAGCTTAGCATTGAACCAACAAGATCGGTGAATGAATTAGTGCACCCATTTTAGGCCTCTGATGGTTTGAATTTCCTCCTATCCACCATGATCGAGGTATGTGGCAGGGATTAAAACATGACCCGTGCCTCCAAGGGCTTACCATGTCTAAAGTAGGTGCAGTTATGGAGTTATACCGGAGACGAGTCTTTCACCTGATCGAGTCTTCCTCCTAAGAAATGAGCACTCCGCACTACTGTTTCTCAATAAAAGAAAGAGAAAGGAAAATATATATATATATAATCATCAAGTTCAAAATGGATAATGAGACACATACTAAAGGGGATATGTCCATAGTTAACTCTCTTCGCCTAACACTACTACAAAAACCTCTATTAGTAATGGTTTATTTAATAACTGTTATTAATAGAGCATAAAAGAAATGGTTATTACGATAGACATTCACATCTTCTTAGGGGCTGTTTGGTTCGTTTCCTTGTTTGTGGGAAAATTGCAATGAAAAGAATAAAGAAAATTGATTTGTATTTCTTTGATTCCGATTACAACTTGATTACAAAAGAGGAGAGAACGGATTTTATTCTCTCCTTTGTTTAAAACTGGGTTCTTCACGGTGGCGATGGAATGCCTCATTCGATTGCTCGCGTCGAAATTGCTCTCCGTTGACGATCCGATGTTTTGCTTCACTGGAATGATATCTTCTCCTCACGATTTGAAGTTGTGGAGAACTTGCGTGGTAAGTTTGAGAACTCTGAACGAGTTTAGAAGAACTCTGTAAAAGAGTTGATTTGAACCGAAGATCGGTTAATAAGCCAAGGCTAGAAGAAAGCTCTGGTGGTCGATCTTAGCTGAGGATGAACGTCGATCTCCCTCTTGCTGCCAATTCTCAGATCCGGAAAATCCAGCCAAAAACCCCCCGCCCCGAACTCAGTTGAGTTTATCCATATTTATAGGGAATTAAGGGGTGTAACTGCCCCATTAATTCTCTCCATAATGGGGTGTAATTGCCCCCAAATCGTGGGAAACGGTTTTAGAACCATTCAGCTCATGTTGAATGAGTCAAACAATGCCCACGTTGGCGTTCAGGATCCTAACTCCACATTTTAGACTGGAGACGCGGAGTTGGGTACCCGCAAGGCGTAGAAAAACGCGAGGGTCGACCTTGGCGTTTTTTATGTTGTGACGCGGGGTTCGACCCTGGCGTTTTGATGTTGTAACGCGGGTTCGACCTTGGCGTTTTGATGTTGTAACGCGGGTTTCGACCCTGGCGTTTTGATGTTGTAACGCGGGCTCGACCTTGGCGTTTTGATGTTGTAACGCGGGTTTCGACCCTGGCGTTTTTTGATGTTGTGACGCGGGGTTCGACCCTGGCGTTTTGATGTTGTAACGCGGGTTCGACCTCGGCGATTTGATGTTGTAATGCGGGGTTCGACCCTGGCGTTATGATGTTGTAACGCGGGGTTCGACCCTGACGTTTGATGTTGTAACGCGGGTTCGACCTCGGCGTTTTGATGTTGTAACGCGGGGTTCGACCCTGGCGTTATGATGTTGTAACGCGGGTTCGACCTTGGCGTTTTGATGTTGAAACACGGGGTTCGACCCTGGCGTTATGATGTTGTAACGCGGGTTCGACCTTGGCGTTTTGATGTTGAAACACGGGGAGGACCTCCGCGTCTTACCTTGCAGAGATTATCACCAAGTAATCTCTTTTTGTCATAGCGTTGCAAAGATCATTGTCTTGTAATCTTCGTCTTGGCTCCTTGAGAATATGAGAGTCGTCAGATTGTAACTCCCGATGTTGATTGTGAATGCTGTTGAAGTAGAGCTTCCATCAGTTGTCGTGAAGGTCGTCAGATTGTAACCTTCAGCAATCTACGCGAAAGTCTTCAGATTACAACCTTCTGGAAGTCGTCAGATTGTAACTTCCATCATCGGTGGTTGATGGGGGATAAGCTATCTATTGTGATTTTTAGACAGCCTACATTCCTAAAAACCAAGAAAAGGAAAAAACATGGAAATCAATAAATTTTGGTTTCCATCATTTTCCACCCTTAGAAATTTCACACATCAACTAATAATATGGTGACAACTCATCTCATCTCATCCCATTTCTTATTTCTAAAAATAAACTAAACACAAGAAATGAGTCACATCAATCAACTCATCCAACCCACTTCACCTCATCTCATCTCATCTACTGCTATCTTTAAAAATTACCCACATCCAATAATATGGTGAGAACTCATCCCGTCTCATTAAAACTTTCCTTCCATCAATTTCATCCAAAAAAACAAGGAAATTGATTTTCCTAAGTATGCGTCACATCATCTAATAATATAATGACAACTCATCTCATCTCATCTATTTTCTTATTTTTAAGAATGAACCAAACACAAGAAAAGAACCTAAACAAGGAAAGTCTTTTCCTTATAAGTTTTTTCCTTGTTTTTTTAGCCAACCAAACACAAGAAAAGAATATCAAAATAAGTTTTCTTTAAAAATCACTCACATCATCCAATAACATGTTATTTGAATTGAGATGAATAAGGAAGAATGGAAGATAGGGAAGACATTCACCCCGATTAGATAGTTTTAATGGGTGAAGAGCTTCCCCTAGTTCGCCATAGCTCACTTTAAACAACACTATTACACCTGCACATAGAGATATCTGGTCCTTCCAGTGCAATTGCCCTCAAAGATGGGGAGTTACTAAGGACCCCACATTCTTAGAAGAGGGTAGTTCTACGTTGTTTGTAAAGTGTAGTTTAGCGATCGCTACCCATGATTAGTTAGAATATTAAATTAACTAATCTTTGTGATCATTTTTTCTTAATGCTCTAACAAGGCGTGTATGATTCTCTACAGAGGATTTCTGGCCCTTTCTTGACTTCAACCAGGCACAAATATCAACCTCAACTCTCCCTCTCCCTCCCCCCAATCCCCGTCTCTTTCTCTCCCTCCTCTCTCGACAGAGCAAAGAGAGGAAGAAACGCAAAATAAAAAATTAGTCAAGCTAGTTTCTGAATCATGGGCAACAATTGCATATCTCCCATGAAATCCATAGCCCCATCAACCTCGACGACGGGCGTCACCTCAACCACACAGGGCAACCTCTCGACCATCAGCAGCACCGATTTCGGCCGGTCAAGGGACGGCACAAGGGACGGCACAGCCACAAGCCCCCAAGGTCATATTCTCGAGGCCCCCAATCTCAAGATCTTCACCTTCGCCGAGCTAAGAAGCGCAACGAAGAATTTCAAGCCCGAAACTGTTCTTGGCGAGGGAGGGTTCGGGAGAGTTTACAAAGGCTGGGTCGATGAAAGGACTCTGAGTCCAACCAAGAGCGGGCTTGGCATGATGATCGCTGTGAAAAAACTCAAGCCCGAGAGCGTTCAGGGGTTAGAGCAGTGGCAGGTTCGTAATTTCTTAATGGTTGGTTATTAATTATGTTGTTGTTAATTTTTGTTGATGTGTGGTTAATTTGGGGTTTAATTTTGCAGGCGGAGGTGGATTTTCTGGGGAGGGTTTCGCACCCGAATCTGGTGAAGCTCTTGGGTTATTGTTGGGAGGACAAGGATCTTTTGCTTGTTTATGAGTACATGGCAAGAGGGAGCTTAGAGAATCATCTCTTTAGAAGTGAGTTTAATTAAACATATCCTTAATTCCATTAATCTCAATTATTACATATTTTGATCGATGGTATGAGCTATGAGAGCCTGTGATTCACTAGCTCGTGTACCCATCGATTTTAAAGTGACTTTAACAAAAGCTTAATTTGCATCATTTTAAAATATTTTAAGAGCAATAACAAATTAATGTGTAGCGAGGTAGGATAGCTCTCTGTTGTTCGCAAATGTACCTACTAAAATTAATTTAATACTAGCCACTTTGCTTACGTTTTCGTTACGCTTCCTGATTATGTTTTATAAAATTCATAATATGGTATTAATTATCTAGTCTAGATGCCCGCATTAGTTTAAGACGTAGTGGGCTATTAGCACCGATAACAGTGCTTAATATTATAGTTTGGTACTGAGAATATGCTACTAATTTCTCCAACAAAGGTTGCTATGTTCTCTCTCTCGAGCTCGAATCTTATTATCGGAATAAGTGACAATTATTATGTACTTTTTTGAACAGGAGGAGGAGCTTTCCAGCCATTATCATGGAGATTAAGGCTAAAGATAGTATTAGGAGCAGCACGAGGCCTTGCTTTCCTACATTCATCTGAGAAGCACGTGATCTATAGGGACTTCAAGGCGTCTAACATCCTTCTAGACTCGGTATAATTCTGTTGAGAAGTTCGTCAATTATCGGGTTATTTCATTTTATTATCTTAATTTGCTTCTGATTTCTTGGGTAGGATTACAATGCGAAGCTCTCCGACTTCGGACTCGTGAGGAAAGGTCCCACGGGTGAAGATACTCACGTGACCACACGCGTCATGGGCACCTTTGGATACGCAGCTCCTGAGTATATTAACACTGGTATGCACCATGGGTTCTCCTGGTTACTGACCTTTAGAAAGATAATTAAGAATCTTGTTTTGCCTTCGCTATCATTTCTTTTTTCCTATTTAGATAGGTTTTTGACTTAAATTATATAGGTCAAAATTTTCTTTAGCTTCTTTAATCTTGGTTCCATTTCTGTTTAATTAATCTAGTATTAGAAGTATTTCTGACTTGCTCAAACTCTCATTAAGAAAAAATAAAATACGGCATATAGGTTGTTAATACCGAAATTAGTCAACTAAAACATGGGGGGAAAAAAATGAATTGTGTAGTTAATACTGAGATTAGTCAAGTAATACATTAAAAAGATGAATTGTTTTTTGAGTTAAAATTATTTGTTCAAATCAAAATGCATAAGAAACAAACATTTAAATTATCAAGTAAATGGAGGATTTCGCTAGCATGATGTCAACCGAAGTATTATTTAGGGGATTTGAAGGGAACATAACATAAAATCTAATGAAAATCGTGGACTTTTCGAAGTCTCAACTGTTGACTGGTTGCGAACATCGTATGCGTGGTTTCCAACTAGTTCAAACGAATGATGAAGGCAAACTTATGGACATAAAGCTAAAATTATATGAAAATTCTATATTACCATGGACTAGAGTTATATAGTTTTTGAAATTTTTTAGATTAAATGTTTAATGAATTAAAGGTAATTATTATGAAACCCAGTTCTTTCGTTGTTCATAAGAAAATCCCTTTGTGTTATCATTTGATTACAAAATTCCCTGTTGCTAAAAAAATAGCTGAGATTTATTAAAACAACAACAATAAAAACAAAAACCTTTATCTCAATTGTTTAGGGTCGGCTACATAAACCCTACTTTTTTATTCCATTCTGTTATTCCATTCTATTGTGAGAGCATCTCCAACAGCTTCCCCATCTTCTTGAAATACTCAATTTTGGGGAATATAGAGCTTTTTTTTGGTCCAACAGATTCCTCATCCCATTCCCCAAAATAGGGAAGGACGAGAAAAAATAGGGAGCCTTCCCCAAATCTGCAGCATTCTTCAAATTTTTGGGGAGAGCTTTATTATTGTAATAAATGCGATTTTTCAAAATGGGGAAGTTGTTGGAGTTGGAGCAAAAATAATTTGGAGAATATGGCTTTTGTTTCTCCATTTTGGAGAAAATTTTGGGGAAGCTGTTGGAGACGCTCTGAGTCATCTCCTCCTTTAAAGTTAACCATTATCATATCATTTTTAATTGTTTCCAACCAATTTCTCTTAAGTCTATTTCTAAATCTTGCCTTATTAACTATAATATTATCACTTTTTCTACCCGGTGATATCAATTCTCTCTTATTTTATCCTCAATAAGATCAAAGAAAATGCATGTGTATAATCCAAAATAAATCTTCCATTTTTCCTCTTAACATATCCCCCCCTCCACAACAACAACAACAAAAAAAACTATTAGAAGATGGCCATGTAATCATAAAAGTCTAGTCTACTTAAAATGGAAACAAAACATGCAGAGGGGAAAACATATATTTTCAATTGAGTACATCCAGACTCTGTGAAGTCAAGAGCAAAGAAAATCCATTCATAGAAGAATGATCAACTGTTGCAATCAAGTGACAAGAAAATCAATGAAAGTATTGGATACGCAAACGTGAAATATCCCGTTATTCAAGAGGTTGTTTTTTGTTTTTGTATATATATATATATATATATATATACTATATAGGACTAGGTAGGTATATATATGCAGGATATGGGTAACTTTAGCGGCCAAGGATCATTGGGTTAGTGATTTGACACATTCTTGTCCATTACATCACACCTTGGAAGTTGGTGAGGCTCAATCTTCAAGGTGTGGATTATGGACACAGATGTGTCCACATCACTAACCAAGATCCTTTGGTACAAGTATTACCATTTATTTCCTACTCTCCTCCATGTATATATAGGTATATGTATAAAAATGATAATTTTCATATTATTATTAATTATTATATATTTATTTATTTAGTATTGGGGGTAAAAAAAGAAAGAAAAGAAAAACTACCTGTTATTCGTTTAGAAAATCACAAAGAAAACGACATGTTTCGTTACCAATCTTAAAGTAAGTAATTACACTGATTTTCGTGTAGTTTTTACTGTTTTCAATATTAGTGCGTGCACTTTTTTTTACTATTTAAACTCAAAAAATTCTTTAAGGACCCAAAATATGGAACCAATAGGGGGGACAAGTGAGGTGTCCCCCTCCTATTGGATAATGAGTTGGCTATCATTAATGATGGCCAACTCATTGTGAGGTGTCCCCCTCCTATTGGATAATGAGTTGGCTATCATTAATGATGGCCAACTCATTATCCAATAAGAGTTAATGATGGGCAACTCATTATCCAATAGGAGGAGGACACCTCACTTATCCCTTTTATTGGTCCCATATTTTGGGTCCCTGTAGCAAAGCTCTTTAAACTCCTTCTACTACTTATGTCCTACATCGAGAACACCTCTAGGGCTTCTTCCATGTTATTCTCTAATAATGTTGATTGTATTAATTTGTGGTCCCTACAAGTACTACTAGTGTTGTTCCCCCCACTAACCCCGGTCCCCCACCACCAAAAATTAGCTCCACAGCTCTCCACGTCACTCGACTTCACCATCCAATGTGCTTCCATTTGTCCTTCCATCATTTTTTTAGCCGACGCGAAAACTGTAATAGCTTTCAATTTACAGGTCATCTCTATGTAAGGAGTGATGTATACGGATTCGGTGTAGTGCTGCTTGAAATGATCACAGGTCAGAGAGCGTTCGATCTCAACCGTCCAAGCGGACAGCATAATTTAGTGGACTGGGCCAAGCCTTATTTAATGGACCGCAAAAAGCTCACTCAGATCGTCGACCCTCAGCTCGACGGCCAGTGCAAACCTAAGGCTACAATTCAAGCGGCGCAATTGATTCTCAAATGTGTAGCCCAAAATCCCAGACACCGGCCGTCGATGAACGATGTAGTTGAGAGCCTTGAGAAAATTGAAGCCGCTCAGCAAACTGAAGCCCGGCCCCATAGAATGTCGAGGGTGAGGTGAATACTTCGGGGGCATCGTCAAAGATTTGTATTTGAGACGAATCATATTTTTAATTTGATCATGTGCTATATAGATCCCACTATCTTCAGGTCAAAACCCAAAAAATCTATATATATATATAAAATAAAATAAAAAGGAGGAAAAGTAAAAAAAAAAAAAGGGCGGCATGAAACTAAATCGGCCTTTTGCCGACTTCAGTAGATCTTTGTCCCTTTTGCATCTCACTAGTTAGGCAGGCAAATCAAGCTGTAATCTTTCTGGCAGAGACTAATAACATACGAGCTAACTTTACCTAGGTGGAATCACTTCCTGTGGACTAATCTAACTTATCATGAAAAAGATCATCGTACTAATTAATCTACTTTATCGGTCGGCGTATCATAATCGCCCTTTCCAAGATAAGACCAAAATCATGGAGAACTAACATAGCTTCATGGTCAAATTAAAGCTACTAGACTTGTATTAGTATTATACTCCTATAGGCGTACGTTATCTTCATACTGTAGAGCATATAATTGGAAACATAATTTTCTCCACCCATTTTATCACCAGCTAATTAACTAGAAAGACTAGTACAAATATTTTAGGGTAATTTGGGGGCCTAATCTCAAATTATCAAGATTTGAGGGACTAATATCAGAATACATATGATTCAAGGGACTAACATCTAAAAAGACTAATAAGAAATTTTCTCAGATGAGATTTAGTAGAATAAAACGTATAGGTTATGCAATAACCCATAAACTTCAGCAGGTTTAGTGGAATACAAAAAAGTGTAGTGGAGTTTAGTATAACACCATTCTTAATTAGTTCAGCGGGAGTTCGTGAAATTAACCGAAAGAAATCTAAGGCCATCTATTTGCTTGGCCGCCAAGATATCAGAAATGTGGTGAACTCAACTAAACAAATTAATGTTTATCAGAAGTAATGGATTCGGATGCTTTTTTTTTTTGGGTGAAATTCGGATGCTTTTTAACTATATGCTAATTAGAGAGTATCCATTTTTTTCTGTCTTCACTTTCAAGCTCAATTTTAAGGGAAAAGACATCACCACGTAGAATTTCAATTTCAACAATGAAGTTAGTGGTTTTGCAAAGACCACTATAGTTTTTTTTACAATAAAAATTAATTATTTCTAAGAAAATTAATCAGAAAAATAAAAAAAATCTTTCCAATCAGGTGACAAATAATAACTCCTCTCCCATTTTCAAATTTCATTTCTAATCATGTAACTAAATCTTGTATCAGAAAAAAAATTAGTGATAAAAATAATATATTTCAGCCGATTGATTAGAGTAATGTGTGGAGAGGGAGAATTGAAATATCTGCTAAAAATTGTAGGAGTTAAAAATTAATTATTTTGGATTTTGCTAAATTAGTTTTAGAGATATTTAATATTAGTAAATAAAATTATATTCACCAAAATCATAGTAGTATTTGAAAAATCAGCATGTTGATTGCTACAAAAGCTATCGGCAATGTCTTATCCCTTGAAATTGAGATTGCAGGTAAGTATTGAAAAAATTAGATGCTCCCCAATTACCATGTAATTAGAGGAGATCCGAATCCATAAGCAATAAGGATGCGGATCTCTATAGGTGTTTTTGGGAGCCTCGCCAGTCGCCCCCATACAATTTTAAATCTAGACTATTATAGTAAAAACCAAGAGGAGACAACCAAAAAATTCAAGATTTGAAGGACATTTCTTCCTTTCCATTGTATTTGAAAGGGTAAATTTGTAATTTCATAAGGAAGATTTGCATTCTTTCTATTCTATGTTCTTTTCTCTTTGTTTCTTTGGATCATTCCATGTCATGAAAATAAGAATGAAGCCTACATAATTAAACATTCATTACACTTAGGCCTCGTTTGGTACGCGGGAATGAGGTGGAATAGAATGATCATTCTCACTTCTCATTCCTTCTTACCAAACACACCCTCTTTTTTGAAGTTGGAATGCCCATTCTCAATTCTTATCAATTCCCACTTTATGTGGGAATGAGCATTCCTAATGAAATGATAGGGAATGGACATTCCCACTTAAATGGGAAACAATAAAATATATAATTTTAAAATACGTCCATTCCCACTTCATTTTATAAATTACACCCAAACGTGAGAATGAGAATGACTATTCCATTCTCACATTAATTCCATTCCATTCCTTCTTCCATTCCATTCTCACATTAATTCCATTCCATTCCTTCTTCCATTCCATTCTCATTTAAGTCCATTCCCGCGTACCAAACGAGGCGTTAGGTTAAAGGATATAAAGAGAATTGATGAATTAACATATCTAAATTTTAAAACAATATTTTATACTTAATTCAACCACTATATTCATGCTAGCGTAGTAAGCATGTCATAAAATTATTGGAGAAAAATAACATGAAGTTCAAAGTAAAGATGATTTTCTCTTAAAAAAATCTTACCCTGATCCACAATTAAATGCCTTCTCTATTTCCAAACAAAATGAAAATATGCTTCAAATTATTTGTAAAATTAAAAAAAAAAGAGAGAAAATAATCTTTTCAGTCACGTGCATTTGCACGTATGGGATTTCTAGTTTGTTACTAAGGGGTATAGAAATTTATCTAGGCGCTCCCATATAACTTATATATAAATGCCTTCTTGAAATTGGTAACCCCACAAATTAGGAAGAGATATTACTAAAATCTGGTAGTGTTTTGTTAGCTTTCGTGATAAAAACAATCACTAACTAATATAAAATGATATTGAAAAGTATTATTTGTTGAGACCTTGGTGATTATTGTATAAATTAGTGTTCCCATTGCTAAAACACATAAGCCATGTTTAGATTGGTTATTATTTTGAGGTAATAACTCTTTACCTTTTATTATTATAAAATAATGAGTTGTAGTGTATTAGATTGGGTTCCTTAGTCCATTAAATTGAAATAGTCCATAAATTTCAGACTAAATAAAGAGTAGGAGGGGGTGTTATTATAGCCCGGAACTATTTCTTCTTTGGGAATGTATATGCTAAAAGAACTACTTGCCCTTAACTTTTCTAGATATTTCCCCTCCGATTATTTTATATCACCCACTTTTTCTTTTCAGGTCATAAATTTTTCGCGCGGCTTTTTGCTCACGTTCCGAGCGGCAAAAACGAGTCCCTTCAAACCCGATTTTATTGATTATGGAATGATTCTATAAGCTTAGGACCTCATTTAGTTATGTTTTACTTTAATTAGCATCATGTGACGTTTAGCATCTGCACGTAATTCTTGTTGATAATATATCATTCTTGTTGAAAATATAATTTTATACTTGGAACTCGATCCAACGTTGCAGCAATTTCGCTCAGCCACATTTGTAAATTTCCAACGTAACAAAACTTTAACTCATAAAGATTATTGCTTGCGAACTTTTTTTTTTTTTATCTTCGTCAGAATATAATTTTAGTTGGATGGGTACGTGCCTCTAGCTACGTTGGGCAATTCCACAACATTATATAGGATTACAACTATGATGTGATTTACTTCTTAGATTCCTCATCCTGCATGGCATAAACTTCAACAAATCATAAAATTTGCAGAAGGCCATTTATGGACATTTATTGTTATATAATAACCTTATACCAAATTATAGTAAGAAGCCACCAAATATGACACCCTATTAGATGTGTTAGTAACAAATTTGAACCAAATAAATTATTAAATATTTAACTCACTATGGACTATTTTTTTTTGAAACTGAGAAACAGGGTGAGGTACCCTGTTCATTTTAGATATATTAGGGAAATAACTGCTAGAAGGATTATCTCCCGCGACCCCTGAAGGAGGCTTCTTCGCCATTTCCTGGAGACCGAGATTGAGGGCTGCCCTTCGCAGCCTCCTAGCCGTCCTATCATCACCATCACCTGTCCAGAAAATTGAGTATCTCGCAATATTAGTTGCGACAGATAACGAGTTGGGAATATCATCTTTAAAAATTAGAGAGTTTCTAGTGAACCATATCCACCAACAGAAACATGGCAACAGGATCTTCCAAAAAGTTTTAACATTCGAGCAAGTGTTGGGAACTTTGTAGAGCAGCAGCAGTTCCTCCATGTTTGAGGGCCAACGGTTAGCTGGGAAAAGAGGAAGAAGGAGTTTCCAAACTTTACGGGCGAAGGAACAGTGGATAAAAATATGATCATGAGACTCTGTCTCCTTGAGACAAAAAGGACATCTAATGTCTCCGTTCCAACCTTTTTTGCTCAAGTTGTCTTTGGTGTTGAGTTTCCTTTTCGAAATGATCCAGAGGAGAATTTTTACCTTGAGAGGGATGCTGGATTTCCAGATCAAATTTGAGAACTGGGATTTTAGCCCCCCTGAAGAAATGAACGAATAAAAGGATTTAACTGTATAGACTCCCGAAGAATGAAGAGGCCACCAAATAGCATCCTGCTCTGATGAGCCACCAGGAAAATGGTGCTCAAGGAATGCTTGAAGATCGGAAACATCTGCTCTCTCTCTGGGGGAGGATCCCCTACGGATAATTGGGTGCCAGACCCATGATCCATTGGCCCATCTTCCTTGCTTGTCAAGGCTGCAGTTGCTCGAGAAGGCAAGATTGTGAGCATAGGGGAATAGACTGCTAAGAGAGTTAGCAGATGCCCATTTGTCATGCCAGAATCTAATCGAGGCACCATTCCCCACTTTCCATCTGACCAAGCTAAAGAAAATGTGATGAGATGCAAGCAGATCCTGGAAAAGTCTTGAGTGTGATATCTTCGGCTGATTGGCAAAAGGGTTAGCTCCATGTTTGGAATATATGGAGAAGAAAACTTCACTAATTAAGGATGATCTGTCAGAAATTTTCCAAATCCATTTGGAGAGGAGGGCAGAGTTAAAGGTGGGGATATCAATTACCCCAAGTCCTCCTTCCACTTTGGATTTGCATACTGTTCCCCAGTTAACTAGGCATTTTGGTCTTGAGAGGCTGTGGCTACCATTCCAAAGGAAATTTCTTCTGATTTTATCAATGGATTTAGAAACCCAAATTGGCAACTTGAAAAAAGAAACTCACTATGGACTATATATAACGAATTAAATTAATCCTAAGATAAAATAAGTCCCCAATCCAAACATGGCCATAGTATACAATTTATTAATTTATTAGTAAAATTGCATACGTACTCCCATGAAATAAATTTCTGAATCCGTTCCTGATCAGAATCATGCTTCGAGTCTCCCTGGTGCCGAATCTTATCTTATAAGAACTTGCATTAATTTCATAAAAGAGTTTTTTTTTTCCCTCACATATATACTTTTGTTCTCTGTTACACTACTACATCATGGACTAGTTGTTAAATTCCACATATGCCACGGTACACAGTTGAGCTAGCTTTCACATTTTCTTCTTAATCTTCTCCAAGTACTGGTAATTCCTCTGATACTGCACAACACCCCAAACCAAATGCCTCAACGATATCTCCGGCCAAAGACACCGCGGGCAATACAACAAACAATGCGTCGTCTGCCATAAAAGGAAATTGCTCAGCCGAGTCTCTCCTGAAGTCCTCACCAAAATATCCGGATCCGGACACCCTGCGTAATACATGTTCTTCTCCAAATCCTCCACCGATATCGATGCATCGCCATCAATTTTCTCAGTCACCGCCCCCTTAACTCCGTGAACGATCTCATCTGTCGAAGTATACGCCAAACAAATCAACAGCACCATCTTTGTATTCTTCGCCGTTGCATCCATGACTCCCTGTATCGCTTCCCTTGTTGGCTCATCCAGCGTGTCCAACTTCCCTAGTGTTGAAATAAAAGAAAGAGAAAAGAGTTCGTTAATTGGTTATGAACAACATGAATACACCTCACATTGTATATACGGGTTATGGAATATCAATAAAAGGAAAACTATAATGTTCCCTTTCAAGCTTAACAAGGGTAGAGGTTAGTAAAGCTCATCGATCTTGTCCGGAAATTAAAGACAACAATCTACTGCTCGCGTACCTCATTCATATCAGCATGCAAGTGAGATTGAAATGAACCTGATCATATGAAAAAGTAGTAGAGGCAAAAACAAATCCAAGAACAAGAAGTTTTACGAATGATCGAGTAGGGCTGGAATTGAATTACCCGAATATGTATCGGATACTGAGACATTTGTAGTTGCATTCGTTTAACGTTTTTGGATTCGAATATGAATTCGAATATCATTCTCTGATTTTCTTCGAATTCGAATTCGAATACCGATATTTGCTGAATATTCACGAATGCTTATCAAATATTTACGTATATTTATTTGATTAATAATTTATGTTTTATGAATATTAACTTAAGTAGGTAGATGCTTTTATTTGATTAAAGCAGTATTTTCATTGTTCTAAGAATTTGATATTTTAGATAACATTTAAATTTATAATTGAAATTCATTCCTTCATATCTATGATACCTAAATCTGTAATGTGAAAATTTGGTCAAAACAATGGATTTGGGCTTGTTAAGCCTCTCAAAATTAGTAGGCAACCAAATTAAAAAATTTAGGTGGGCCAAGAACATAACATCACATGCTTAATTAATACAAGTTATTAGTAAACAAAATTTTATCTAATAGTTTATTAAACAAACAAATTAAATATATCTATGGTTAAATTTTATTCATTTATGAATCGAATACTAAAAACAAAATTTTTAATATTAAACGAACAATCAAATCGATTATGACAGAATAGTAAAAAAAGACAATAATAAAAGACACGGAAACAAGTGGTAACATGTCAGCAATAAAAGGTAAGGAAAAACAATAATAAAAAAAAGACACGGAAACAAGTGGTAACATGTCAGAAGACCTTCTAATACCTAGGAACTCGACACGGACGCCGAGCTCGTCGACGATGCCACTATTGTGGCTCATCGCCTCGGCTTTGTCGCGGATGAGGCCCATGAGGATTTGGACTTCGGTGGGCCGGCGTTTGAAGTTGTCGATACTGAAGCCGTAGAAGGATACGTGGTGGGGCATCGGGCCGACGGAGAGGACCTGGAAGAGGAGGCGGCGGAGGGAGCTGCGGACGCCGTCCAAGAGGGTCGTCGGGATGAGGGTAGTGCTTGTTTTAGCGTCCATGATTTAACCTTGGAGAGAGGTTTAAGTGCCAGCTTAATTAGGTCAGGATCAGTACGTTTTAAAAAATTGTATAAGATGAAGAGGGAGACTATATGAACAAATCTCTATTTGACTTATCACGGAAAAAAAAAAGGTTAAATTAATTGCGGATAAAATTATGGTGAGCTATTGAGAGGTTTGCATAAAACTACTACATATACTTATTTGATAAGTTCAGAAGACGAACAATCCGAGTAATGTGTTACAATTCCGACTATATATTATTAAAGAAATGGTATAAATGTTGTACTTCGAACAATATACAATCAACGTACATTTACCTTCTAGTTTGAATAAATCGCTAGTTACTCTGAGTGCCGAACACAGTAGATGTGCGCCCCAAAAAGAAAACTCATTAGAGATAACCAACTTAACTTCTTACTACTCGGAAAAGTATGAACGTTAAGTCTTTATATAATTTTTAATTTGAAACTTAATTTTGGTTAAGGGAGAAGAAAAGCACCGTAAGCATGGGCCTAAAAGGCTGAAAGTAAGCCCAGTTACTCGGGTTTGTTACTGAGGCGATGCTCTTTGCGTGAATCCTCCCGGAGTCCGGAACGGCCATAACTCAAGGAGCGGTTCGCTTCCATGGATTTTCACGTGTCGAGGCTCTCTCTTTCTCTGCTACTGCTTCCTTTATTCCTTTTCTTTCGGGGTTGTTTGTTTAGTTTAGTTTTAAGTATAAAAGTTAAAAACGTTTTCTTCACTGTTATGTTGATATTTGTTGGGCGCAAAGTCACGTCCTCACGCTGCTGAAGCGATATAACCTGAGAGAAAACCCTGTCTTTTATTTTCACAAAAGCTCAAGCCAACATCTATATTCCCGTTTCACAAAAGAAACAAGAATAAAAAGTAAAATATCTCAACAAAGTGAAATATACACTCTTCCTCTCATCAGTTCTAGGACTGATTTGTCGAGGGAACCTACAAGCAATAGTCAATACCCAGAAAATAGTAAAGACACGAGATTTACGTGGTTCAGCAAACTTGTCTATGTTCACGGGAGGGGTGAGGGGAGATTCCACTATGAGGAGAATACCGACGACTTGTACAATCCACAATCTTGTCTTAAAAGAAGATTTGATTTTTACTCAAAAGAAATTAACCTCTCTTGTAAAATCTCTCCTCTAGATCTCAGATCTAGATCTAAAAAACTCTCCTTTTGATAGCCGCAAAAAACCCTTCTATTTTCTCCTCTGCAGCCGAAAAACCCCCCTTGTATTCTTCTCCCACACACGAAACCCTAGAAGAAGTCGAATATTTATACGCGCCCGACTTCGGCACTTCAGCAATTGCCTTTGTGTGTCTCGCTGTACATGTGTAGGTTGTCTAAAAAACACTATAGATAGTTGATCCCTCATCAAACACCGATGATGAAAATTACAATTTGATGGCTTCCAGAAGGCTACAATTTGAAGACTTTCAGTAGATCAATGAAGGTTACAATCTGACGACATTCGCAACAACTAATGAAAGCTCTAATCAACAACATTCACAATCAACATCGGGAGTTACAATCCGACGACTCTCATATTTTCAAGGAGCTAAGAAAAAGATTACAAGATGATGATCATTACAACGCTCTAACAAAAGATACCACAAATTGATGGTCTCTTCACATCAAAACGCAGAGGTCAAACCTGCGTTTCAACATCAAAGGTCCTCCCTGCATTGCAACATCAAAACGCAGAGGTCCTCCCTACGTTGCAACATCCAAACGCAGACTTCATTGCTGCGTTTTCAGCCCAAAACGCAGAACCCAACTCTACATTCCAGATCCAAACGCAGAGTTCATTCCTGCGTCTCCAACTTTTAAAGCGGTACGACCACTACGTTCTGAGCCAACTGGAAATGCCCAACTCTACGATTCAGGTCTAAAACGCAGAGTTCGGGCCCAGAACGTCATTTTTAGCATTTGACTCGTTCAAACACGAGTTGAATGGTTCCAGAAACCGTTTTGTCCCTACTATTTGAGGGGATCATCACCCTATCATGGAGAGATTTATGGGAGACGGTTACACCCCATTAAACCCTCATTAAGGAGAGATTTAAGGGGATGGTTACACCCCTTAATCCCTTATAAATCACAGAAAACTCAACTGAGTTAGAGGCTGGCTTTTTGCGATCTTTGGATCTTTGAGTATTTTCGGATCTAGAGATCAGCAAAGGGGATCACCAATTCATCCTCTTTCGACAGCAAAAAGATTGAAAGATCGGCATTCATCTTGCGGAGCAGTCCTTGGAGCTTTCTTCCTTGGCTTATTAACCGATTTTCGGTTCAAATCAACTCTTTTTCAAGAGTTTAAACTCACTCTGAGTTATCATCTCGTCAAGAGTTTCAAACTTACCACGCAAGTTCTCCTCAACGTCAATCAAGAGGAACCAACTACGTTCCTGTGAAAAAAGATGTTCGGATCGTCAACGAGAAGCAAACTTGAAACGAGCATTCGAGTGAGCCATCTCATCACCACCGTGAAGAAGACTTAAACAAAGGAGATGATCTCCGTCGATCTTCTTCTCTTTTGTAAATCAGGATTCATATTAAGAAGAGTGTAATTTCTTTTTCTAAGTTAGTTAGAGAGAAATTTTAATGAGAGATTTGTATTTATTCTTTGTCTAAGCCATTTAGAGAGATAATATAATAAATCATATTCTCAATTGTGTAGGCTGTCTAAAAATAACAATAGATAGCTGAGCCTCCATCAAACACTGATGATGGAAGTTACAATCTGACGACTTCCAGAAGGCTACAATTCGAAGATTTTCATATGTCAAAGAGTTAAAGCAAAGATTACAAAACAACAATCTTTAGCAACACTCTGACAGAAAGGGATTACAAATCAACGATCTCTTCAAACCAAGACGTGGAAGTCCTCCCCGCGTATCATCATCAAGACACAACACCAATTTGATCACCTACGCCGCTTCAACAGTTATAAACACGAATGCAGCTTCTTATGTGAGATGATTGATCTTGATGGCTGCGACAACAACATGACTAATATTATATTAGCAACCATTAGAGGGTTTTCAACTCCCAAACGCACCCTCATGATCAAACAGTCGAACGCATGATTTAGACGTGCGTTCTGATGGCCGAACTCAGCCTGCCACATAAATAACTCCTTCAAAGGGGTAAATATTCGAAGTAATAATCAGACGGCCGAGATCATTTTACCTCAGACGAGCTGATCAAGAAGATTCTTCCGAAGCTGTCTCCCTGACTAAGCTGGGGATGAAAGTCTGTTCATACAAGCTGAAGTCTAAAGCCATTGTTGATGAATCAAACAAGAAGGAGGATGTCGACAAAATTTGCCCAAAGCCCCGAGATGCTCTACTCAGTCTACAATGGAATACATTTAATCAGCAAAGTTTTGGGATCCAAAGTATTCCGAAAATTCGTCCCAGTCAACCGCGAACTTTCGAAAACTTTGGAGGGGGTTCTGTAGGCTGTCTAAAAATAATAATAGAAAGCTGATTCCCCATCAAACACCGATGATGGAAGTTACAATCTGACGACTTCCAGAAGGCTACAATTCGAAGATTTTCATATGTCAAAGAGTTAAAGCAAAGATTACAAAACAACAATCTTTAGCAACACTCTGACAGAAAGGGATTACAAATCAACGATCTCTTTAAACCAAGACGAGGAAGTCCTCCCCGCGTACTATCATCAAGACACTACACCGATTCAATCACCTATGCCGCTTCAACCGCTACAAATACGAATGCAGCTTCCTATACGAGACGATTGATCTTGATGGCTGCGACAACAACATGACTAATATTATATTAGCAACCATTAGAGGTGCTGATGAGCAGTGTAATGATATTCGACACACTCAGTAGAGATCGTGACCTGCAGTTGATAGAGCGTTATTGAGATGCCTCAATTGTCACAAATGGCCTGAATAGGACCTTCCTTACTGGTCATTGGTATCATCCATATATAAAGATAGAGAAATCTAAATACTGCGACAATCAACAGCTCGAACGCAACTCCATCGCTGCCCAATGCAGCTCATCAACCGTTGCCAGACGCAACTCCATCGCTGCCCAACGCAGCTCATCAACCGTTGCCAGACGCAACTCTATCGCTGCCCAACGCAACTCAATCACCGCCAGAACGCAAGTCAAGGTTCTGACTTATTCAAACGTGATCGTAACAACTTCGAAGCTGTTTTTCACCCACGATTTGAGGAGTGGCTTTAGTGGGTTGTTACACCCGACTAATGGAGTAACTAAACCCCCATTTAGGCGCGGATTATGGGGGCAGTTACACCCTAATCCCCCTATAAATATCAACAAACTCAACAGAGTTAGGGGATCTCTTTTTGGATTGTTGAGATCGGATTTTTTGATAATCAGATCAAAGGGGGGATTTTCGTGGAGAAGACCTTTCGATCAGATGAATCACAAAACTCGACAAGAGTTATCAACCGGCCAAGACAGTTGTTCCAGTGAAGTATAGATATTCGGATCGTCAACGAGAAGCAAACTCGACGCAAGCATTCGAGGGAGGCATCTCATCGCTACCGTGAAGAACCCAGAATTAAACAAAGGGGAGAATCCAGATCATTCTCTTCTCTTTTGTAAATCGGAAATCCAATTATAATTGAGAGTTGAGAGAATTGTAATCATTCCTTTTCTAAGCAGTTAGAGAGAATAAAATCAAATACAGTTCTTTTCTTCATTTTTTCTTATTGCAAATTTTTCCACAAACAAAAGATGGCGACTCTGCTGGGGATAAGCTTCTCTGACGAAGAGGTGGTGGCGCAATCCGACGCTCACCTCACTGGAACGACCGTAGAAACTTTGGTCGTGGAGTTTGACCAAGCCAAATACGAGGAGGCCCTCTCTTCCGGATCACTCAGTCCTAAGGCTAGGCGAGATGCTTGTAAGAGCTCTAAAGAGGTCTTAACTGCTGTTGAGACGCCAAAGAAAGTCCTCTCCTTTGGCCAAAGCCTCAAGCTCGCTCTGCAAACCGAAGATCCCACGTCTATGTCGACACAGCGTGTACTTGGTTGTAAGAGGCCTATGACAGAGACAAGCGCAATCAACGACGGTGTTGCGGATACTAAGGCTTTGAAACAAGCCAAGAAAAACGCTGCCCGACGACGGAGAAGGTCCATCCGACGAGCACACCTCCGAGAAAATCAATCCCGAGTCCAACGCAAGGATTGCGTCTCCGAAGATCTGTCTAAGCATTGCGAACGCACACTTCGAGGTAATGAATCCAATTACAAACCTCGGGTGATTCAACTTAAACGCGACCCTCAGTGGTGCGTTGTCCAATCAAAACACAGCCCTGTCAAGGGAAAACAAGCACCTCAAGAGTGCGTCCAAACAAAACAAGACCCTAAAGGGTCTGTTCCTTCAACTAAA